ACGTTTGGGCTGTCACCTTCAAGAGCGCCGAGGGGAAAAAGAAGCTGCAAGCCGTCGCAGACTTCAAAGTCAAGGACGGCCGCTGCGTCGTGGTGGACCCGAGTAACCAGGACACCCGGCTCAAGCTCCACTGGCTGCTGCATCACGTCCCTGACGAAGAGGTACGGGCGGCCCTGGCGCCTTTTGGAAAAGTGACAGGAATCACAAGAGACAAGTGGCGCGTCCCAGGATGCCCGGACATGGGGTCGACAACGCGGTCGGTGTCCCTCAAGTTGGGGCCTGGTGTCACGGTGGACGACCTCCCCCATCAACTGCGTATCGCCGGCGACCTAGTGTTAGTAGTGGTGCCTGGCAGAGCCCCGCTCTGCCTACGGTGCAAGGGCAAGGGCCACATTCGGAGGGAGTGCCGAGTACCGCGCTGTGCGCTCTGCCGTCGCTTTGGCCACGACGAGAGCCAGTGCGTCCGAACCTACGCAAGCGTCGCAGGACCCGTGGGGAGCGACGATAACTTGGAGCACCTCATGGACGTGGCCGATGCCGAGGAGGCCGCCTCGGGTACTTCCGACAGGGCAGCCCCAAAAGCGGACGTTACACCAGCACCTGAAGGTGACGGGACGAAAGGCACGGTTGACGCGGCACCTGGTACGGACGCTACGAGGCAAGCTGGGCGGTCAGAGGTTCCTACGGCAGAGAACGTTACACCGAGCGGCGCAGAAATCAGCGTCGTTAAGGACTCTGCCGTTGACGGATCCATGGTTGACGTGGAGGCCTCGGCAAGTGGCCTTACCACCAAAAGGACTCACGAGGACGCCAGCACGGGCCCCAGCGTGTCAAACCACGAGGAGCCACCTCTGAAGGCGGCCCCCTTCAGGAGGCCACGGCTCAACGTCAAGCCGAAGGTCCCTGGCGACGATGCAAGAGTGGTCAAGCCACCCCCGTGAGTTTCCGACCGTGGCTAGCTTGAGGCCTCGGGGTATGCGTGGTGGACAGTCGGACGCTAGTTTCTCGTCGAAACGCAATACACGGCTCCGAACCCGAGGTAAGCACCATGCGGTCTCTCTCCTCCTGGAATGGCACTAAGATTAGAAGCGCCCTTACGCATTGCCACCATAAACGTCCGCGGGATGGCAGCGAGGCGCCGACAATACCAGCTTAGCCGACTGTTCGCGGACAACGAGCTTGATATTGTCGCCGTCCAAGAAACGAAAGTAGAAAGCCAGGAACAGACTGACCGCATGGTGCAACCTTTTCGATCTCGTTTTAATGTATGCGTTGCACATTCAGTTGGTTTGTCAGGGGGTTGCTGTTTATTTATTCGGCAATCGATTGGCATCACAGAGATTGCTGTGGTTTCGTGCACTTCCGGTCGTTTTGTGTACTGTGATTTTTCTTTTTCGAATATCGAGTGGCGTGTAATTTGCGTTTATGCGCCAAATCGCGACAGTGAGCGAAAAGTTTTTTTTTGAAGGTATAAGGGCGTACCTTGAAAGTGAAAGAATGATTATTCTTTTAGGGGATTTTAATTGTGTGTGCGCGCCAGAGGAACGTGTGAATCAAGTCCCTATTCGCGACCACAGTGCCATTTATTTAAGTGATATTATTGCAGAACATGAATTGGAAGACGTCGCGCGCCTTGCCTCCACAGGCAAGGTTCAGTTTACTCATTTTCAGGGTTTCAGTCATGCCCGACTCGATAGGGCTTACATTTCGCTTGATCTCGAACCGTTTTGTGACCAATATACTGTTCAGCCCGTCTCGTTCAGTGACCACGCGTTAGTAATGTTCAGCCTTGGAAAGAAAGCCAGAAGGCAAAAGTGGAACTGGTCGCTGTGGAAATTAAACGGGAGTCTTGTTCTGGACGAGGTTTTTAAAAGTACAGTTAACAGTTTATTTGAGAAGTTAAAAGAGAATGATCAAATGAAGGGGGGGGTCAAGTGGGAACTGTTTAAAGAGGAGGTAAAAATAAACGCCATAGAAAGAAGTAGTTTACTCAACTACCAGAGACAGAGGAAGGAGAAAGAGCTCAGGCGTGAATTGGACATTCTTTTAAGCGAAGAAAGCGTTCTGCCCGGCGAGTTCGCGCAGGAAATAAGAAACATCAAGAACCAGTTGGAAATTATTGACGCAGAACGTTACAGAGGGGCCGTCGTGCGTGCGCGAGCCGAAAGACTTTGGTGCAGCGAAAAGCCGACAAAACGCGCGCTAAGTGACGAACAGAGGTACGCGCGGCAGAATGAGATAAACGAAATCAGCTACGGCCACTCGGTAACGCGTGATAAGATAACAATTCGACGGGCGTTTGTCGAACACTATCGCGAGTTACTTGGGCACTGCGCGCCATTACAGGACGGTTTTGACAGCGAGTTTTTGCTGCTAATGCCCAAGCTAGAAGAGCATCTTCGTATCAGCTTGGAAGCGCCGATTAGTGTCCGCGAAATAGAGCGGGCCATTGACGAGTTAAGCGCAGGAAAGACACCCGGTCCTGACGGCCTAGGCTCCGAGTTTTACAAAATGTTTAAATGGGAATCAGCAAATGCCCTTTACCATGTGCTAACCGAGGCCTATGATTTAAATATTTTGCCGCCATCATTCTTAAGAACACACACTGTCCTTATACCCAAGAGCGATGACCCCGTAAAACTTTTGTCCGTGGCATCCTACAGACCTATAAGTCTAGCGAATGTGGACTACAAAATCTACATGAAGGTCCTGGCTCAAAGATTACAGTCCGTAATTAAATGTTTAGTGGGGCCACATCAGACGTGTGGTATAAAAGGGCGTACCATTTGTACGAATATACATGTCGCAAGAAGCATTTTAGAATGCTGCGACGCTTTCTCCAGTCGAGTTGCAATGTTGCAGCTCGACCTGGAGAAAGCGTTCGACCGCGTATCGCATCAAGTTCTTTTCAATATTCTGGAGTATGTTAATGTAGGTAGTGTTATTCTAGACGGTCTCAAAATGGCTTACAAAAACTGTACTTCGCGCTTAATTGTTAATAAGGATGTTAGTGAGACTGTCGATGTCCGCTGTTCTGTGAGGCAAGGTTGCCCACTGTCGCCCTTGCTTTTTGCTATTTATTTAGAACCCTTTTGTTTGCGACTTCTTCAAGACGAAAGAATTAATGGTTTTAGAATCCAGTCAAGCGAGGTGAAGGTTCTGGCGTACGCGGACGACGTTGCCGTTTTTTGTACTGATCGAGATAGCGTGCGCGAGGTGGTCACTGTTGCATCTTCTTTTTGCAAAAAAACGGGGAGTGTGATTAACTGGGGAAAATGTGCTGGTTTTTGGCATGGTAACTGGGACGCGACGCCTAGTGTTTTTTTGAACATCCAGTGGACGGCCATGCCTGTCAAGTACCTTGGGGTGCCGCTCGAACATTATCGAGACAGCTCGCGGTATTGGAACGAGGAGACGGAGAAGGTCCGGACAAAAGCGGAAAGTTGGAAGGGTCGTGAACTCTCGATGTTTGCACGGACTACTGTATGCAATATTTTTTTGATAGCGAAAGTGTGGTATGTGTTGCAAGCGCTGGCTATGTCGCGTATCAACGTGCAAAAGATACACAGAGTATTTGCAGTTTTTATTTGGGGATCAGTTTGGGAGCGCTCTTCCCGCACGAATTTGTTCCGTTCAGTGCGATGCGGTGGGTTAGGACTGTCTCACCTGTTCATCCGACAAATTGTGTCTCGGTTTATTTTTCTCCGTGATCAAAATGATGGTTTTTTACGCACAGTTATCCAAGTAAGAATGCGAAATATTCTACCAGAGTTTGTGGTGTCATCGAGTACCGAAGCGAGTGGCAGTGTCCGTGGTTACCTGCGAGAAGTTCTTTTATCTTTTAAGATGTTGAAGGTGCGTTTTTCTTTAGAATACCTGAGTAATGTAACGCGAAAGAGGTTGTATAAAGATTTAGTTGACGTCTTATTGCCCGTACCCCTTTACAGATCTCTATATTCGCAGGGAACGGGTCAGGATGTACTAAAAAGAGTTAAAAGAATGCCGATAAGACCAGCGGTTAAATCCTTTTTCTTTGGGCTACACAGCGGCACACTCCCCGTGAAGTCGTGGCTTGAGAGTAAGGGGATATTTGTTCCATGGACCACCAACTGCCTGCTCTGTAAAAGACCGGAGACCATAGAGCATGTCTTCATCGAATGCTGGGACGCAATTTTTTATTGGGATATTCTCCAGCGCACATTAAAAAAGGACTTTCCTGTAACGCCGTTTGGTATTCGGTTTTTGCCCATCGAAAGTGAAGGTGGGGTTCCGTACGACATGATTATGGTACTCGGTCTTCACAGTATTTGGAAAACGAGAATGGCTGTGCGCCACGCAGACGTCGATGTACGGTCAGTGCGAGAAAACTTTATTGAGAGCGTGGCATACATTCGAACAGTTCTTGCGGCACAGCCTGAACCCCCTGACTGGTTGCCGCTTCTAAAAAAGCTGGTGTGCCTTAAACGATTTTAAATGTAACCGCGCTAGTCTAGCGGAGGTTGTCGGTTTCTCTTTTAACACTCTCATGTGTGTACTTGGTGCAATTGTCAAAACAGGCAATAAAGAAAAAAAAAAAAAAATCCTCGTTAGTATAGTGGTCAGTATCCCCGCCTGTCACGCGGGAGACCGGGGTTCGATTCCCCGACGGGGAGCATAATTTTTTTTTTTTTTTACCCCCACATTTTTTTTTTTTTTCCTTTATTGAAAAGTCCAGGTTGCGGTAGAGTTCCCGTCCCGCTATTCCCGTCTCTCCTCGTTAGTATAGTGGTCAGTATCCCCGCCTGTCACGCGGGAGACCGGGGTTCGATTCCCCGACGGGGAGCATAATTTTTTTTTTTTTTACCCCCACATTTTTTTTTTTTCCTTTATTGAAAAGTCCAGGTTGCGGTAGAGTTCCCGTCCCGCTATTCCCGTCTCTCCTCGTTAGTATAGTGGTCAGTATCCCCGCCTGTCACGCGGGAGACCGGGGTTCGATTCCCCGACGGGGAGCATAATTTTTTTTTTTTTTTTACCCCCACATTTTTTTTTTCCTTTATTGAAAAGTCCAGGTTGCGGTAGAGTTCCCGTCCCGCTATTCCCGTCTCTCCTCGTTAGTATAGTGGATTCCACTTCCGGCAGCCGAAGCGATCGGACGCGGAATGTCTAGCTCCGACGGAGCGGTTTCGGCGGCCCAGGCGGGCCGCGGTATCAGGGACGTTGATAAGGAATACGCTGTCATCCTGCCTTCGCTGCCCACCGGATCACTCGTGGTAAATACGGTTTTTTTACACGCTGATATTAAGGGACGTCCGTATCGCGCCGAAGATTTTCGCGACGCGCTGGCTCGCTTAGGACTACTCCCCGAGGTTGTCGCCCTCGGGGCGTATCAAATGAATCACGTCTGGGCCGTCACCTTCAAGACTACCGAGGGGTCCAAGAAGCTACTGGCGGAGTCGGAGCTCGTCGTCAAGGGTCGGCGGTGCATCGTCGTCGACCCGGGCAACCGGGACGTACGCCTCAAGCTCCACTGGCTGCTTTTTAACGTCGGCGACGACGACGTGAGGGCAGCCTTGGCGCCTTATGGCAAGGTCCTTGACGTCTCCAGGGAGCGGTGGCACATCGACGGCTGCCACAGCGTCAGCACCATGACGCGGACGGCGGTGCTGCGCCTGAAGGGGGGCGTGACTCCCGACGACATCCCGCACCAGCTGCGCGTCGCCGGTGAGCTCGCCCTCGTTGTCGTGCCGGGCAGGGCGCCGCTCTGCCTGCGGTGTCAGCGGACGGGGCACATCCGCAAGGAGTGCCGCGTCCCCAAGTGCAACGTCTGCCGACGGTTCGGCCACGACGACACGCAGTGCGTAAGGACCTACGCGGCGGCCGTGGGTCCTGTGGGAGGCGAGGAGAAATCCGAGCTTCTCATGGACGAGGCCGACGCCGAGGAGGCCGTCGCGGGTCCGGACACCGGGGCGGCGCCATCGCAGAGAGCAGCGGCGGCGCCCGAGGGCGACACGGCCACGTCCGCGGTCAACGAGGCACTTGGTGCTGAGACGGCGAGCCAGGCCAAGTCTCCGGACGTTCCGTCCGTTGAGGCGCCGAGGCCAGGAGTCAGAGCAGCCGACACGTGCGACGACGCCCTCCCTGAACAACCAGGCGACGCGCCCATGGAGACGGCCGTGACACCGGAGCTCGCCACAAAGAGGACTCGGGACGTCGACGGTGCTGACCCAGCAGCAGCGACCAAGGAAGAGCCGCCTGCCAAGACGGTGCCCCTGTGGAGGCGACGTGCGCCTGTTCGGCCGAACATTTCGGAGGAGGACAGGAGGGCAGCCAAGCCTCCGCCGTGAATGTGTGCGCCGCAGTTCGCCGAGAGCCACGGAGTCAGCGACTTCAAAGGACAGACACCTGCACCGCGCCGACGCGGCAGGTTGTTCCGAGGTAAGCACCATGCGGTCTGTCTTTTCTCCCTTTCCTGAATGGCGGTGATATTAGACGCCCCTTTTCGTGTCGCCACGATTAACGTCCGCGGGCTCGCTGCGAGGCGTCGGCAGTACCAACTGAGCCGACTGTTTGCCGAGAACGAGTTGGATATCATTGCCGTTCAGGAAACAAAGGTTGAGAGTCAAGAGCAGACAGACCGTATGGTGCAGCCTTTTCGAACTCTTTTTAATGTCTGCGTTTCGCACGCTATGGGAACGTCGGGGGGTTGTTGTTTGTTTCTTCGGAAGTCTCTAGGGTTTGTTGAGACCGCCGTGATTTCTTGCGCGTATGGCCGTTTTGTAATATGTGATTTTTCTTTTTCAAATATGCAATGGCGCGTTATTTGTGTTTATGCGCCCAATCGTGAGTGCGAGCGCAGGGTCTTTTTTGAAGGTCTGAGCGAGTACCTTAATTGTGAGCGATTTGTGATTTTTCTTGGAGATTTTAATTGTGTTTGTGCGCCCCAAGATCGGGTGAATTTGACACGTGTTCGCGACCAGAGTGCCTTTTATTTAACTGACATTGTCACGAACAATTCGTTGGAGGACGTGGCTTCTGTATCCTCTAGTAACGGTGTTCGTTTTACCCATTTTCAGGGCTCGAGCCATGCGCGTCTCGATAGGGCCTATGTGTCACTCGATCTTGTCCCGCTATGTGCCCATTATATTGTTCAACCCGTCTCTTTTAGCGATCATTCGTTAGTAATGTTCACGATTGGTAAAAAAGTTAAGCAGCCAAATTGGAACTGGTCGCTCTGGAAAATGAATAGCTGTCTTGTGAAGGATGAAGTTTTTACCGTTCAAGTAAAAGAATTATTTAGGAAGTTGCATGAAAATGAGGCGACCATGTGGGGTGAGCGATGGGAACTTTTTAAAGGGGAAGTGAAACTTGAGGCCATAGAAAGAAGCAGTATTCTTAATTTTCAGCGAAGGCAGAAAGAAAAAACGCTGCGTAGTCAGTTAAGCACCTTTTTACTAGAAGAAAGTGCGAAGCCGGGCGAGTTTGGGCAAGAGATAAGACAAGTGAAGAATCAACTCGAAGTTATCGACTGCGAAAGATACAGGGGGGCTATTGTGCGTTCGCGGTCTGAAAAGCTGTGGCAGGGCGAAAGACCGACGAAGCGCGCGATGAGCGACGAGAAGCGGTATGCACAGCGCAAGGAGATAACTGAGTTGTGTGTCGGTAACTCGATAATCCGCGATAAGAAAGCGATTGAGGGGGCCTTTGTTGAATTTTATCGGTTTCTGCTTAGAAAAAGCGTTCCAGAAGAGGACGGGTTTGAAAAAGAATTCTTGTCGCTCATGCCCAGGCTTGAAGAGCACGTTCGAGAACGGCTGGAAGAGCCGATTAGTGTTCGCGAGCTTACAGTTGCGATCGAGGAATTAAGTGCTAGCAAAACGTCCGGGCCGGATGGCCTTAGTGCGGAGTTTTATAAAGCATTTAAGAGGGAGGCCGCAGAAGCTTTGCATGAGGTGTTGACCGAGGCCTATCAAAGGAACGTGTTACCGCCATCTTTTTCAAAATCACATATCGTTCTTATCCCTAAATCCGATGACCCTATGAAACTTTTATCCGTGTCCTCTTACAGACCGATAAGTCTTACTAATGTAGACTATAAAATTTATATGAAAGTCTTAGCTTGTCGTTTGCAAAATATCATTACATATCTGGTCGGCCCACATCAGACGTGCGGTATAAAAGGTCGGAGCATTTGTACAAATATTCACGTGGCTCGAAGCATACTAGAATGTTGTGATGCCTTCGCTGGCCGAGTTGCCATGCTACAGCTAGACTTAGAGAAGGCGTTTGACAGGGTTGCACATGATATTCTTTTTCGTATTTTGGAACATGTTAATGTTGGTTCTGTTCTTTTGTGTGGTATAAATATGGCTTACGCCGACTGTACCACGTCAATTATTGTTAATAGAAGCGTTAGTGAAAGTATCCACGTCCAGTCTTCTGTTAGGCAAGGTTGTCCTCTGTCCCCTTTGCTATTCGCGATTTACTTAGAACCCTTTTGTTTAAGAATAATTCATAATGAGAATATACGAGGTTTTAGATTACAATCTTCCGAAGTAAAGGTCCTTTCCTACGCGGATGACGTTGCTGTTTTTTGTAGTGATCATGACAGTCTGCATAAAGTGGGTAGTATAGCATCTTCCTTTTGTAAGAAAACAGCGAGTAGAATCAACTGGGGAAAATGCGCGGGTTTCTGGCATGGTAACTGGGCCACCACGCCTAAAGTTTTTCTGAACGTACAGTGGACAACCTTGCCCGTGAAGTATCTCGGTGTGCCACTACAGCACTACCGAGACACTAAGCAACTGTGGAATGAGGAGACTGATAGGGTAAGGGCGAAAACAGAGGGTTGGAAAGGTCGCGAGTTTTCAATGTTTGCGCGCGCAACAGTCTGCAATTTATTTTTAATCGCGAAAATATGGTATATTTTGCAAGTTTTGTCTATGTCACGCGTCAATGTGCAGAGGCTGCACAGGGTCTTCGCTGTTTTTATTTGGAATTCAGGTTGGGAGCGTTGTTCCCGTACCAACTTATTTCGATCAGTTCGTAGTGGAGGCCTTGGACTGTCTCACCTGTTTATACGTCAAATAGTTTCCAGGTTTTTGTTTTTACGCGATCAGAGAGATGTATTCTTGAGAACTTTTATTAATGTGCATTTGCAAAGCTTCCTGCCTGAATTTGTAGTATCTTCTAGCGACCAAATAAGCGCGAGCGTTCAGGGGTTCACGCGGGAAGTTGTGATGGCATTTCGGATGCTTAAAGTTCGGTTCTCCTTCGAATACCTGAGTTCAGTCAGTCGCAAAAGGCTGTATAGAGATTTAGTCGATGTTCTTTTACCCATACCTCTTTACCGATCTTTGTACTGTGAGGGCGCAGGGCAGGATGTTTTAAACAGGGTGAAAAGAATGCCGGTAAAACCTTCTCTTAAGTCGTTTTTCTTTCAATTGCATTGCGGCGTGCTACCTGTCAAACCGTGGCTTGAACAGAAAGGAATTTTTGTGCCATGGTCAATTAATTGTTTCCTTTGTAAAAGGCCCGAAACTATAGAACATGTATTTTTAGAATGTTGGGATGCGGTGTTCCTATGGGACATCCTGCAGCGAACGCTCAAGAAAGATTTCCCCCTCACAGCGCATGGCATACGGTTTCTATCTGTAGATAATGAAGGCGGTGTTCCTTACGATATGTTTATGCTCCTTGGCCTCCACAGTCTTTGGAGGACGAGGACGGGTGTTAACCACGCGGACGCACAGGTTCGGCCCGCACGAGAGTACCTCATTGAAAGTGCCGCTTACATGCGTGAAGTATACCATTCACTGTCTGATCCACCGGACTGGACGTTAATGTTGGACAGGTTGGTCTGTCTAGAAAAATTTTAATGTTGCCGCGAGGTCCGATTACGGGCCAGCGCGCTCTTAACATTTGTCAATGTGTGTTTGTGCCTTTGTGCTTTTAGTTGTTCTTGTCAAAACAGGCAATAAAGAAAAAAAAAAAAAAAAAAACTCCTCGTTAGTATAGTGGTCAGTATCCCCGCCTGTCACGCGGGAGACCGGGGTTCGATTCCCCGACGGGGAGCATAATTTTTTTTTTTTTTACCCCCACATTTTTTTTTTTTTTCCTTTATTGAAAAGTCCAGGTTGCGGTAGAGTTCCCGTCCCGCTATTCCCGTCTCTCCTCGTTAGTATAGTGATTCCACTTCCGGCCGCCGAAGCGAAAGGACGTGTGAGCATGAGCTCCGTCGGAGCGGGTGCAGCGGCCGCTGGCCGCGGTAACAGGAACATGGCTTCTGCCGAACAGGACTACCAAGTTATCCTGCCAACGCTTCCAACAGGTACAACAATTTTGAATACTGCTTTTTTGCACGCCGATGTGACCATGAGGCCATACCGTCTGGAACATTTTCGTGACGCCCTGGTTGGCCTGGCGCTGCTCCCCGAGGTGCTCGCCTTGGGGGCGTACCAGTACAACCACGTTTGGGCCGTCACCTTCAAGAGTGTCGAGGGCAAGAAAAAACTGCTCGCCGCCGGGGATTTCACAGTCAAGGAAGGACGGTGCGTCGTTGTCGACCCAAGCAACCAGGACACGCGGCTGAAGCTCCACTGGCTGCTGCACCACGTCCCGGACGACGAAGTACGAGTGGCCTTGGCGCCCTACGGAAAGGTGACGGAAGTCGCCAGAGACGTGTGGCGGGCCCAGGGGTGCGCCGGCATGTTGTCCACGACGCGCTCTGTGTCCATCAGGCTTAAGGCCGGACTCACCGTTGACTCCCTCCCTCATCAGCTGCGCGTCGCTGGGGACCTGGCGCTCGTGGTTGTACCGGGCAGGGCGCCGCTGTGCCTTCGGTGCCGAGGGAAAGGCCACATTCGTCGAGAGTGTCGTGTGCCGCGTTGTGCTCTCTGTCGGCGCTTCGGCCACGAAGACAGCCAGTGCATAAGGACGTACGCTAGCGTCACGGGGCCCGTGGGGAATGAGGACACGTCCGAGCTACTCATGGATGTGGTCGAGTCCCAAGAAGCAGCCGGAGGCGAAGGTGGCGAGCCTCCTACAGAGGCGACGCCCACCGGGCTTTCTGCCGGGGACAGAGCCGACAGCGGGAACGACGGTGAGCGACGCCGTCATCCTGAGGCGCTGCCTGTGGACGGTACCCCTGCTTCGAAAGGTGTCACAGAGACCGCAGTTTCGGCTGTGGCGGCGACGCCCAGCGAGGAGTCGGAAGCCATGAGTGTCGGGGAGGCAGGCTCCAGCGGCGCAGTCCCCAAGCGGGCTCGCGAAGACGTCGACGAAGGTCTAATCGTAAGTGCGGTCCTTCCCGAGGAACCGCCCCGAAAAGCGACTCCTGTGCGTCGGGCAAGCCTCAAGCCTAAGCCCAACATCCCTCCGGAGAGGCGACCACCGGCGACACCACCCCCGTAGGTGCGATAACCCGTTTTTTGTTGGGCACCTCTTCTCGGACTGGAAACCGACAAGACTTTGAGGGGACGATGTCCTCGTGCCGCCGCTTTGTGGCCCGAACTTTCGGCGAACTCTCTTGTCGGACCCACCGGGCGGCACACCGGGACTGTGAGTCTGTCGTCGTTTTTCAGCGACTTGAGCTGTGCACCATGCGGCCCGTTTGATCTAGTTTTTGATGGCAGTAAGCCTTGAGACAGCGCTTCGCGTCGCTACGCTGAACGTGCGAGGCCTGGGAGCAAGGCGGCGGCAGTACCAGCTGAGCCGCCTTTTCCTGGAAAACGACCTTGACGTAGTCGCTGTCCAAGAGACAAAGGTGGAAAGTGAAGAGCAAACGGACCGCATGGTGCAACCTTTCAGATCGCGATACAATGTATGTGTGTGCCACTCCGTTGGTACATCAGGGGGTTGTGCTCTTTTTTTGCGCAATTCTTTGGGAATTGTGGAAGAAACAGTGATTGTTTGTGAATCAGGCCGCTTGATTGTTTGTGATTTTTCTTTTTCGGGGTTGCAGTGGCGAGCTATCTGCGTTTATGCGCCAAACCGGGAGAGTGATAGAAGAATGTTTTTTGAACGCGTTGAATCTTATCTGAAATGTGAAAGGTTTGTTATTTTTTTGGGTGATTTTAACTGCGTCTGCGCAATAGAAGACAGGGCGCGACAGCTGCCGCTTCGGGACCAGAGTGCTTTATTTTTGAACTCGTTAGTGCAGGAGTGCAATTTAGAGGACGTCGGGTTTGTTTTGTCGAAGGCAGATTTTCCCCAGTTTACACACTTCCAACGCGAGAGTCACGCGAGGCTAGACAGAGCGTATATCTCCGCAGCCCTGGTTCCCCTGTGCGAGAATTACGAAGTGAAACACGTTTCTTTCAGTGATCATAGTCTGGTAATATTTTCAATCGGATCGAAAGAAACAAAATCGCAGTTCAACTGGGAATTGTGGAAATTTAATGATAAGCTACTAAGAGATGAGATTTTTATGGACGGGGTAAAACAAAGCATTGGGAAATTGCTGGAGGCTGAGTCGGGAAACTCTGTTATACTGTGGGAGCGCTTTAAAGATGAAGTCAAAATCAGCGCGATTGAAAGATCGTGTATCTTACGCCGCCAGGAAAAGCAAAAAGAAAAAGAGCTACAGTGTCAGTTAGATTTCCTTTTAAGCGTTGAATGTGCACAACCCGGAAAGTTTACGAGAGAAATAAAAGAAGTTAAAAGTAAACTGGAGCTTATCGATGTCGAAAAATATAGAGGAGCCGTGATAAGAGCCCGCGCCGAACGTCTGTGGTTGGGTGAAACGCCGACGAAGCGTTCACTTGGGAATGAAAAAAGATATGCGACGCAAAATGAAATAAAAGAAATAGAGCATGGGGCCGTGGTGACTCGCGATAAAAAGACCATCGAACGCGCCTTCGTGGAATATTATCAAAATCTTTTGGGTCGCCGCAGACACGTGGAAGAAGGATTTGCCAGCGTCCTTTTGCCACTCATGCCAAAATTAGATGACGAAATTAAAGCCGACCTTGAGGCACCGATTAGCGTGAGAGAAATAGAGAAGGCTATCGACGAACTGAATCCAGGGAAATCGCCCGGTCCCGACGGCTTAGGTGCCGCCTTCTACAAGGCTTTCAAAGCCGATGTGGCGGAGGTCCTGCACCGCACGATAGCGGAGGCGTACGATAGAAAAGCAGTGCCTCCATCCTTCCAGAAAACGCATATAGTATTAATCCCCAAAAGTGATGATCCCGCGAAACTGTTGTCTGTTAAGTCCTACCGTCCCATTAGCCTAACAAACGTTGACTATAAAATCGTCCTGAAGGTCTTAGCGCGAAGGCTGCAAGGTGTAATAAAATCTATCGTCGGGCCCCACCAAACATGTGGCATCAAGGGGCGAACGATTACAACTAACATACACGTAGCAAGAAGCATCTTGGAATGTTGTGATGCTTTCGAAGGTCGCGTAGCCATGTTGCAGCTTGATTTCGAAAAGGCGTTCGATAGAGTAGCACACGACGTCCTTTTTTGTATTTTAGAGCACGTGAACGTTGGGTTTTTATTGTTGGAATGGGTTAAAATGTCCTACGCGGAGTGTTTTGCGAGTGTGATTGTTAATAAGAAAGTTACTGAAAGTTTTCAAGTACTCTCCTCGGTACGGCAAGGATGCCCATTATCGCCATTGTTGTTTGCTCTCTATTTAGAGCCTTTTTGTTTAAAACTTCTTTTCAATGAAAGAATACGCGGTTTTAGGCTGTTGTCGAGTGAAATCAAGGTACTTTCGTACGCAGACGACGTTGCTGTCTTCTGCGACGACAAAGAAAGTGTTTGCGAGGTGGTCAAAGAAGCGCTTAATTTTTGTAAATTTTCGGGCAGTGTTATCAATTGGGATAAATGCGTGGGCTACTGGCATGGTAGCTGGGAAAGTACACCAGCTGTTTTTGAAAGAGTTACTTGGTCTTGTTTGCCGGGCAGGTACCTCGGAGTGCCGCTTGAGCACTACCGCGATTCTACTGAGTACTGGAGGGAAGAAGTCGAGAGGGCTCGGGATAATACGGCAAAGTGGGGGGGTCTAAATCTTTCCATGTTTGCCCGCTCCACAGTTTGTAATTTGTTTATCGTTGCTAAAGTCTGGTACGTGCTCCAGGCTTTGTGTATGTCTAGAGTAAGCGTTCAAAAGTTTCACCGAGTGTTCGCGATTTTTGTGTGGGGGTCGGTGTGGGAGCGCACCGGTCGTACAAATTTGTTCCGCTCTGTGAAAAGTGGCGGGCTAGGACTGGCTCATCTGTTTCTGCGACAAGTGGTGTCAAGATTTATGTTCCTGCGGGATCAGGGGGATCCTTTTCTGCGGACTGTATTACAAGTTAGGCTCCGTAATGCATTGTCTGAGTTTGTTGTGACCTCGAGTGATGTCAGATGTACGCGGGTTCGAGGTTTTCTGCGCGAAGTGATTTTGGCTTTCCATTTTCTCAAGGTTCGATTTTCGTTGGAGTACTTAAGCGAAGTTACACGAAAGCGCCTGTACAAAGACTTAGTCGAGGTGGTCTTCCCCGTGCCTTTGTACAGGTCTTTTTTCTGTGAGGGCCCGGGCCAGGATGTCCTCAAAAGAGTTAAACGGATGCCAGTAAGGCCAACCGTGAAGTCTTTCTTTTTTCAGCTACACACCGGCACGCTTCCCGTTAAGCCCTGGCTTGAAGAAAAAGGCATTTTTGTTCCTTGGTCGATTAACTGCCTCTTGTGCCGGGAACCCGAGACTATCGATCATATTTTCTTGGATTGCTGGGATGCGGTATTCCACTGGGACATTATGCAACGTACTTTAAAAAAGAGTCTCCCAGTGTCATCCTATGGCATCCGTTTTCTTCCCGTAGAAAATGAAGGGGGCGTTCCCTACGACATGTTTATGGCCTTGGCCCTGCACAGCATGTGGAAATCGAGGATGGCTGTGCGACATGCTGATGTCGATGCTCGCCCCGTGCGGGATTACTTTATCGAGCATATTGTTCACCTAAGAGAATTGTACAGAGCACAGAGCGAACAGCCTGACTGGATTCCAGTGTTAGACAGTCTTGTCGCCCTGAGAGTCTTTTAAACCATGTGCCCCGGCTAGGCCGAGCCGGATGCTTTTAACCTTCCAATTTTTGTGCGATTGTTTAACTACGTTTATGTTCCAAACCGGCAATAAAGAAAAAAAAAAAAATCCTCGTTAGTATAGTGGTCAGTATCCCCGCCTGTCACGCGGGAGACCGGGGTTCGATTCCCCGACGGGGAGCATAATTTTTTTTTTTTTACCCCCACATTTTTTTTTTTTTCCTTTATTGAAAAGTCCAGGTTGCGGTAGAGTTCCCGTCCCGCTATTCCCGTCTCTCCTCGTTAGTATAGTGGTCAGTATCCCCGCCTGTCACGCGGGAGACCGGGGTTCGATTCCCCGACGGGGAGCATAATTTTTTTTTTTTTACCCCCACATTTTTTTTTTCCCTTTATTGAAAAGTCCAGGTTGCGGTAGAGTTCCCATCCAGTTATTCCCGTCTCTCCTCGTTAGTATAGTGGTCAGTATCCCCGCCTGTCACGCGGGAGACCGGGGTTCGATTCCCCGACGGGGAGCATAATTTTTTTTTTTTTTCACGTCACGCGGGAGACCGGGGTTCGATTCCCCGACGGGGAGCATAATTTTTTTTTTTTTACCCCCACATTTTTTTTTTTTCTTTATTGAAAAGTCCAGGTTGCGGTAGAGTTCCCGTCCCGCTATTCCCGTCTCTCCTCGTTAGTATAGTGGTCAGTATCCCCGCCTGTCACGCGGGAGACCGGGGTTCGATTCCCCGACGGGGAGCATAATTTTTTTTTTTTTACCCCCACATTTTTTTTTTCCCTTTATTGAAAAGTCCAGGTTGCGGTAGAGTTCCCATCCAGTTATTCCCGTCTCTCCTCGTTAGTATAGTGGTCAGTATCCCCGCCTGTCACGCGGGAGACCGGGGTTCGATTCCCCGACGGGGAGCATAATTTTTTTTTTTTTACCCCCACATTTTTTTTTTCCTTTATTGAAAAGTCCAGGTTGCGGTAGAGTTCCCGTCCCGCTATTCCCGTCTCTCCTCGTTAGTATAGTGGTCAGTATCCCCGCCTGTCACGCGGGAGACCGGGGTTCGATTCCCCGACGGGGAGCAT